ATGGCATCTTTAAGCCCATCTCCGACAAGATTCTGTCACCTCTCCAAATGGCATCTTTAAGCCCATTTCCTCAACTACATTCTGACGAGTGCAAATTTACGGGCACTCTAGTGTCCAATCATTTTTTACCTTCGAGTCACGAACGACAAACTCGCCAATCTAACTCTTCAGGTTCAAGAAGATTAAACAGGGGTAGCTGTTGTACCCCAAAATTTTCCCTCTCATTTTATCAAGATTTCCCTCACAAGACTTCTTGGACTCCATACCAGATTAGGGTTTTGCTCAGCTCAAGACCTCTCCTTGCACTAATGATCTGAAATTAGGGTTTGAGTTTGCACAAGGATTTTTGGATCATAAATGCTCAATGTGACTTTCATACTTCATATTGGACCTCTAAGATTGCTCATACCAAGTTTCAAGCCTTGAATCACATTTTTGACCAGTCAATTGGACAGTTGACCTAAAAATCAGTTGTATTGGGGAAAAAGTCAACCATGGCCAATTTACAGTCAAACCTCATAATTTTTGATTGACATCAACATTATAGACTCATATGAACCATTTTATCAAGTTTAGACCACAACTCCTCAAGAAATTTGATCAGATCATCAAAAGGGCAAAATGGTCAAAATTAGGGTTTTGACTGTAGAAGGATAATTTCTGATTTTTCACCTAGCCAATGGCAAATTGGGTTCAAGCATGATTTCAAGGACTCAATGGAATCATCTTGATATAATCACAAGGTTCAAAAGATCTCAAATGCATTGGATTGACAGATAAATTTTCCAGTCAACTGATCAAAAATCAACTGTACACTGAAAAGTCAAACTTTGACTTTTTGGTCAAAATCAAGTGCCAAGGGTCATTTTTCATCAAGATGTGTCAAAACATGAAACTTGTTCATCAAGAAACCTAATTTTGAAAATTAGGGTTTAAGTTTGAAAATTTTCATAACTTAGAAATTTTCTAAGTTTGAAATTTTTCATAACTTAGAAATTTTCTAAGTTATGAAAATTTCTTATTTTTTCCCAACTTTTCCCAATTTTTTCACCATGATGAAATTGGATTCAAAGAAAACTTCCGACATGAAAGTTGTAGTCCTCCACAAAATATAAAACTTTTATTCACAAAGTTTTCCCAAAAGATGCTTGGATCTCAAGTTATGATTTTGTGAATAAGGGTCTATAAACTTTTTAACTTAGTGAAATTTTGTCCTAGTTTAGGCAGATTTTTGACCTAACTTCATGGCAACTTTTCACATAGTTCCAAGTGGAATCTCAAAATACATTTCAAAGATGGATTGTAGAGCATGTTACAAGATTTCCAAAATGTCTAAGAACTCCCCAAGACCATTTATGGTTAGGGAGAATCGAAGAAAAGAAAATGGCCATTTCTCACTTTTGTCCATGGCATTTTTCACATTGGTTCAAGTTGCAAATCAGTTTGGATCATGCTTGTACTTGTATTACAGGTTCTAATCCTTTTTACACTCCAAAATTGAATGCAAATACATTGGACAATGGCTTTGTTCTGGGCTTTGGAGCATTGTACATTGATTTATTCCATTTATGGCAAAAAGTTTACATTGCTACTTTGATAAAGCATGCTTTTAGCAACTTTGTTTACCTTGAGTCATGGACCTAACCTCTTGCTATAAACAAAGTCCACAAATATTAGGCAAAGTTCACCAACTATGTGCAGCTAAGGAACAAGCTTGTATAGGCTTTGAGCATTGTCATCTCACCTTTTCTTCAAAAACAAGCCAACTTGCAAAAGTCCACATATCTCAACTATCTGATAAAACCAAGTCTTGGCATCATTCTACACAAGTTCAGAATATTGTTGCAAGCAAGAAACACGATTTGCCAAGCTCTCAAACACCCTAAAACATAAAAACACCAAGTTCCTGCCCAAACATGGCATCATCTGCAGAACTATTTCCAAAACCAAATTGGCTCGTGCGTTTTGTCTTGAATCACTTCAAACACATTCCCTACAACACACCTGAACTATCCAAGCCCCTGTCCAGCAACTGTGAGCTCGTTTTCACACTTCACAATTTTGATTTTGAAGCTTTGCAGGTTGACTTCTACAGGGACATTCATCAAGTTCAAGGCAAGCTGAGCATTGGGAAAGGTTGAGGGAACTTCAAGCAAGCTCACACGACCTCCAGGCATCACTCAAAGTTGCTACATTGCCCTATCCAAACTCAACTGAACAAGTTTTTGATTTCATGCAAGCATGAGCAAGAACAGATTTCAAGCTCAGAAGCGCGCGCGCGAAGGAGACAGAGGTCATGGATGAAGTTGTTCTGGGCCTGGCGCTTGGGCCTGCTTCTATTTGCACCCCACATTCTGTTATTTGCACCCCCTTGGCCCATTTTCTATATTTTGTATATTTTCCATTTCTTTTTATATTTTCGGACTTTATTTATTTATTTTCTAAACATTTAAAATCACAAAAAATATTTTCTTTATTTTTGGCATTTTATCATTTTTATTTATTTTTTATTTTTTGCATAATAAATAGTTTATTAGGTTTAATACTTTTATTTTTCTTAAATAAACTTGTAAAATAAAAAAAAATACTATACATTTTATTTTTGTCATATTATATACATAACATAATATTTTCATACAATATTCAATTTTTTTTTAATATTTTGTATATATTATTATTATTTTTCTTAAACAAAAAAGATAAATAAATAATTAGAAAATATTATTTTCTTAAAACAAAAATTAGGGTTTTCACCCTTTCAAAAAATAATCATTTTATTTTTCTTATTTTTAAGACTTATTTTTACATACATTAAAATTAATACAAAAACATTTTCTTTCATATTTATATTTTATTGTACATTTAAATAATTGTTCATTTATTTATTGTATAAATTCAATTGGGTTGTAATAGTAAATTAGGGTTTTATTTTGTGCAAATACCCCCTATTCAAACTTGTATCCCCCTTCCCATAATATTGTGTAATAGTCTAGATTTACTTTACGCATTTATTGCTTTCATATACCATGATAGTAAGAACTAGGCTTTGTATGTAAAAGACCAAAAATCAAAACAAATAGCATGACCTAACACAAGATAAAAATGCATGTAAAATGACAACACAATGCACACAAGCACCCCTAGGGTTTCATCCACTTTGTTGCCTTAAAACATGGCTATGGTATGCATGCTAGGTATCTTGGAAAAATCAAACAAAACAAAAAGATCATAGTCCCTCGATGACGCTATCAAAATGTTGCCTAAAAAATGATCTTAGTCCCTAAAACTTGCTAAGATACTTGGCACCATTGCTATCATGGTCATACGATGACCCACGCCCGTCCCATTTAAACATCCAAAGATAGGGTTGTTTACCAAATACAATGGTAAAACAACAATGTCAAAGGGTTAAAAATGTACAAGAAAGACTTTTGAGTAGGTAGGTAAGCTCCTAGTTACTTGATCAATTTGCAAACCATCCTTGCTATTTTTCAAACAAACACACACAATTTCAAAACAATTTCCAAACCACTTTCAAAACATTGAAACATTTTTCAAAAGACAAACATCTTTATATACATTCTTCAAACAAGAATCATTACAAAGATTGCCAAAATGATGGCCTCTTTTCAAAATACTTTTAAAACCACATAAAGCACCATTTCAAATAATTGGAAAAAGCAAAGCAAGTGATCTAAACAAGTAACTAAGAGCCCATGGAAAACCATGGATGAAAATGGTTCTAGCACCTTCCCTTTTCATAATCTGCCCCCCGAACTCAAGAAAACATCTCAAAGGTCTTTCCTGTGCTTTTTGACCTTTCCTTTGGATAAAATAAAAAGTCGGTGGCGACTCTTGCTAAACCGAAACATTTGCGAACACAAACGCAAAACCTCAAGTCAGTTCTCCCACTGTATCACACCTCGCAAAAGGATCCACTGACTCGGCTAGACCTTTTGCTAAGACTGCTATAACTCTTGTATTTTTAAGGGTTTTGAAGCCTGTGAAAATTGAAGTTCCTGACTTTCCTGAAGACCTAGATTCTAGTCCTCCTTCTGCAAGTAAGTCTTTTTCCAGTACTTATTTTCAAAATGATATTAATGGTTCTTCAATTCACAAACCATCATATTCTGCCTCTTTACCTTTTATTTCCCCCATTTCTAAATTCATTCATTCTAAAATCACTTCCTCTAACACCCTACTATCCCAGATTCATTAAGCCTCAGATAGACTAGAATTCTTGTTAAACCAATCATCCTCTAGTGATTCTTTATATGAAGTCCATGATATCATATCTGATTATGAGGAATTGTTTGATATGCCCTTTCCACAACACCAAATTGACCCTTGAACAGAAACCTTCCTAAATGTCATTAGTACCCTTGTGTTTGACACTAACATGGAATATTTCATGAGTTATCCCCCTAGTGACTCTGATTCCTCAGATGGCAGTATACCTATCCATGATCCTAAAAGTAAGTCATTTAAACCTACCTCAAAAATCCCACCTAATGTCACCATTCATATTATCTCTGAAGTCGTTGACCTCACCTCCTCCCTTAAAAAAATCCCATATAGTTCTGAAGATCGTTTCCTTACCATATATAGTTTCTAAGCCATACTCCACCCCTTATGACCTTAAATTTCTCCAAACTAATGTCCATCCAACAACCATAGTTGAATTACTATACTTGTTTGAATATGATGCTCTGGATATACTTCACCCCTTGGTGGATACTTGCACTTTCTGTGGGAATCCTGATGAAAGTAATGCCCTTTGGCATGACTTCAGAAGATGGATTATTTCAAGCACCACAAAACTTCAATTATTATGCTTCAAAGATGTTATGAGAAAGGTTAATACGAGACTTTTTGCAACCATATCACCTTGTCCAGTGCATGTTCTTCATGCACTAGAAGTTGAACTTCCCTTGGAGGTTTCTGACCAAGAGATTCAACCTTCTTAGAAGGCTCTTGAGATTGCTACTTCTTCTAGAGAAATGAAGACTTCTACTTCTGGCTCTAATGTTGTGCCCCCAGTGATCAAGGAAATCTTGGAAGCATTCAGAAGAGAAAATGTTTTTTCCAAACATCGCCTGGATAAATAAGTTGAGAGATTCAAGGAACAAACTGAAAATAATTTTGTGATCACCAACATGCTGAGAGACATCGTGTCAAGACTTCCTCCTTCACCTCCATCTCAACCTTAGACCTTTATTTTACCTTTTTTTTTAGAACTTAGTCTTTATTTTCAGTTTTTAAGAATTTGTACTTTATCTGATGTTGGTTAAAATCTGTTAAGTCTTTTTTATTTGTAACAAAGGGGGAGAAAGTAAGATGATTTTGATATACCTATATCTCATAACTGATCTCATACATGTTATGATATTTTTTCCTCTAATATTATTTGACTAATCAGGAACTTTGAGAAAGTTCACTAAAATTTTCTATACAGGCGAGTTCAGAAACTCTGAAGAGATGTCGTGTTTTGATATCCAAAGGTCATGGTAATCAAGTCATGTTAACCAAACAACTTCTTAAAGGAAATCCAACTAGACTCTGTTAAAACATACTCTGGTACATAAATCAAGTTCAACTAGGTTCTGATACTCCATCAAAACTAGGTTCTGATATGTTCTGATAGAAAGTCAGGATCTGAGACAATTAACCAGACATTTCTATTCAGACTAATGACAAACAAGGCATCTCTACTCATTCTAGTCAGACTCTGAGAGTGTCCTAATCAAGAAAGTATTCCTTTCATGTTGATTAAAGTGTTTTATACTTCAAAATTATTTCATAAGTCTTGCACTCAAGGGGAGCCTTTGAATAAGTTGAGATAAGTTTTGAGAGTATATAACTCAAGGGGAGCTGTTTAGCTACCTCTAAAAAAAATTTATGAGACTAAACCTGTAAGTTTTTTCCATCAAAATACATGATTTTGTCATCATTAAAAAGGGGGAGATTGTAAGAACAAGATTTGGTTTTGCATCTGAAATTTAGTTTTGATGATAATAATACATTGTTTGTTAGATAACAATTTTGTACCCTACGGTTATGTCCAATATGTAGCTTTTGCTAACTAGTTGTGACTCTGATAGAATGGCGTGTGATGTCATCAATTTCTAAAATCAACACACTCTGACTCTAGAGATATGCAAAGTACGTATTACAAAGAAATTGGAATGCTTCTAAACAACGGTTCTAAAGAATGTTAGTCAAAAGTTTTAGACTTGAGACTTCACACACAAAGAGGGTATGGTGAATTTTGTGGTTTGGAAAAATATGGTTTTGAAAACTTTTTGAGATTAAAATTAGAGTTTAATAAACATTTTCTAAAACCTAAGATCTATCAGAGTTTGAAAAAGTTTTTTCTATAACTTAGCAGTGGAATGTTAAAGTATTTTAAAAGTAAAGTGTAGAAAGTAAAAAATTAAGGGAAAATAAGAACACCATGATGTATACAGTTTTGGTCAAATCAAAAGGACATACTCCTCTCCCCAATAATCGGTCTTGAGGGTTTTCATTATATACTTGAGAGCTTTTAGTAGATAAAGCTCACAACCCCCTTATACAAGGAAATGGTGGTTGTCCTACAACCATGATAACACAAGACGAAAGATATGATCATTTGCATCTTCTCCATTATTGAGACTGAAGTGGTTAAACTTCCTTCCGAACTTTATATTGAAGTGATAAGCTACTTTCCATGAAATATTTGAGCTCAATATGAATTAACATGATAATCATTAACCTCTTGAGATTTTAACAGGTTGATCTTCGAACCTACGGTTTCGGACGGGCTAACCATGAACCTAATGGTAAGCTCATCATTCATCCTTTAAGTGAACAAGGCTTTATAATAGCCTTAAGAGAAGTTCAACCATATTAACGATCTTGAACCTAACTAAATATCAAGAACTGATCACACAATCCCTAACCAAAGCTTTTCACCGGTTTAGCTTCGAACCACATATTTTTATCCCTAAAATGAATTGTGTTCATCCAAGGTGAATAAGCAACAACATTGAAGAAATTTTACATTACTACCCATCAAGAATTACAACAACGTCTCACTCACAAAATATATTTCCTCACAAAAGCATTTGGCTATAAGAACTACTGATAGAAAGTGGAAATGAAAAACTTAGAGAGAGAGAGAGAGAGAGAGTATGTGTGTGTGTGTGTCAATGCACACTTCTTCTTCTAGATGATTTGAACCGAGGAATGAGACATCTATTTATAGACTTTAAATCCGCCAAAAGAGGAAACAACATTGAATGAAAAATGATAATTACTAATCGATTAAGACAATTGATTAAGTCATTTAAATGTAACGACTATGTTTTCTAAAATAGGTAAGAATTGATATATGGTCATTGCTAATCGTTTGAGTACATTCAAAATGCCTTATTTCTCAAGAACTCGCCAATCTAATCGATTGAAACTTTATGCTAATCGATTAGATCCAGTAAAAATAAATTTTTTTGGCTTTTTGAATGTTCTCATTACTTCCTAAGAAACTTCTATATATTTCTTCGAAGCATTTTCTTCTACAAAATATTCTATAAAAAGGTGTTTACGTGTGTGTGCGCTTATGGCCAGCTACCTCTATAAATAAGGAACTTTTACTTTTACAAAAGTTTCATTCACTTACTAAATTGGGATAACTTCTTAAGCTTGTGTCTGATGTATTCATTGTGTTGACACCTTGCTTTTTCTTTTGTCTGAAGCTTTACTCTATTCTGAACCTTTGTCGTTCATTTATCAATTGAGACTTTGTCAATTAACATAAATCCTTCTGGCTTGCATCTTTAACATTTTTTAGTACATTGGTTGACTTTCTAAATGGTTGCATCTTTTACTATGTTGAATATTATTTTGTCCGCTCTTTTACATTTGTCATCTTTGCATCTTCATCATACAAAGTATTGTTGCACCCCAAATTTTATTCTAGTTTTCTCATTCTCCCATGTCTAAAAATCATAAATTTTAATTTTCATTTGCATTGTTATATTCTACGCGCATTTGCATCTCTTTAGTCTCGATTTCAATTTTCATCAATTTTTCTTTTAGGTATTAATTTTTGTTCTTTATTTTATAATTAAGAAAATATAAAAAAAAAATATATATATATATATATATATATATATATATATATATATATATATATATATATATATATATATATATATATATATATATATATATATATATATATATATATATATATATATATATATATATATATATATATATATATATATATATATATTCATATTTTAAATTAGACTTTTAGTTTTAAATATACTTAAAAAAATCCATAAAAATATTTTTGGATTTAATAGTTTAATTTCATTATTTTATTATTTATTTGATTTTTAGTTTAATTTTTAATTTGAAATAAGTATCTCAAATATGTAAAAGGGGCTTTTTTTTGGTGTTTGAGAAAGACCTAGAGAGATAAGTTTGTTGGTTTCATTGGTTATAAAGGAGGTTTTGGCTATTGATAGAAGGGAGGGAAAACGAGATAAAAGAAAGAGAAAGAAAACACATGTCAGATTTACATATACAACTCACTTCCCTCTTCTCTTAGCCATTTCTCCTTCACACGATTCATCGCAATCTTGCCACCATTTCCTCTTCCATGGAGCTTCTCGAAACTCACCCTCTATTTCGCCCAACATAACTTCCGCCAACATTAACCCACCAATTCAATCACCACTTTCCACCGTAAACTTTCGACTCCGCCTCCATTCGGTAATTTCTCCATTTGTTTAAATAAAAGTGTTGATGTGAGATAATTTTGTGATAACTCTGTGGAGAGAAAAACTGATATGTGTTGGTGTTTAAAATATTGTTACTATGTTAACTTGTCAAAGTTTTATGTGATAAATTTTGTTGTGTTTTCAAGTCATAATTGTTTGAATCTATGACGAGGTCTTGAAATGTTGTTGTTTACGGTTAAATTGTGTCGAATTTATTTGGATTTTTGTGTTATGTTTAAACTCTGGGTAATTGTGTCGGTGTTAGATGAAAGTTGAAGTTTTGATCCGTGTTCGAACTAAAATTTAAGGTTGTCGGTGTTTGTATTGGTACTTAAATCAAATGTCGAATTTTAAAGTCACGCTATGTCGTTGCTATTTCGTTTGTGCGTTGAAGGTTTATCGTGTTATGATTTTTAAATATGATTAAAATTTTGTTAATGAAGTGATATCCATGTTTAGTTTTGATGAAGGTGACAACAATGTCACGTTTATTCACGTGTAAATCTAACCGAGAAATTTATAGGACAGTGTAATTCGATGGGAGAACTGACTTTTGATTTTGCATTTTATCACAAATATCGTAGATAACAAGAGTCGTCACCGACTTTTCTTTTATCCAACAAAGGAAAGGGTGAAAAGAACAGGAAAGACCTTTGAGAATTTTTCTGAGTAAGGGGGATAAGTTATGAAAAGGGAAGGTGTTAGCACCCTTTTCATTTGTAGTTATCTATGGGCTTTTAATCTCTAGATCACTTTTGAAAATACTTTGTGTGTTTGATTTGTTTGAAAATATTTTGAAAATGTCTAAGTTCGACAAATTTTGTAATGATTCTCGTATAGTTAAGAACGCATACAAAGTGTTTGTTTTAAAAATATTTCAGAGAAATTATTGGTGTGAAAATATTTTATTTTAATGAGCACGAAATTACGAGCTATCTACCTACTCAAAAGTCTTTCGTTTTATTTTCCTCCTCCTTAGATAGTGTTATCCTACCATTAGTTAGTAGGAAGCCATGTCATTGGATGTGTTAAGGGGCAGGCGTGAGTCATCGTATAGTCATAAAGGCAACTCGTAGGGCGCTTTAGCAATTTATCGTAAGGGACTAAGATCGTTTACCGAAGGCAACATCGAAGGGTCATCGAGGGACTGCGTCTTTTTAACCGAGGGTCTTTGCTAAAGGTATCCCTATGTTCGAGGGACATGACTATTTTTTCGAAGGCAACAAGTGAGGTTATCCTAGAGGTGCGGGTGTGAAAAATGCGTTCAATTCATATATATTATCTTGATTAGGGTTATCTGACGGTTGATTTTAGATCTTATCATACACGCCTAATTACTATACAGTTATATATACATACATGCATAATTATAGGTGCGGGAAGTAAAAGTGCGAGAAAGAATAAATCCGAAGTTATTACATCCCATGAGCAGTTACAATATTTAGAAAAAGAAACGTGAAAAGATAAACTAACTATTACAAAATCGTCTGGGCGACCTATACATTTGTTTTCTAGAATTTAAATAACAAATAAAAATATTAGAAAAAATGTTTTAATAAACCTAAGATTCTAAGTTAGAAAATATCTTGATCTTTGTTTGAAAAAATATTTTTATAGTGTGAAATAATAATTAACCCTAATTCTAATTAGTTTACAAATTAATTATGAAATAAAATCAAAATGTGATTAAATCAAATCAATTTTTATTTATCAAAAATTAAATTAATTAATTAAAACCTAAATCTAATTTTAAGTGATTTTTGTGATTTTTGCTGATTAAATAAAATTGATTAAAAAAAGAGAAATTAATTAATTAAAACAAAAAATAAAATAAAAATGTGTTAAAGATTTAAATAGGTCAAAAATAAGTTACACGTGTTGGGTGTTGAACCCATGCCTCTGCCTTTACCAGCCTTCTCTCCTTGCCATTTGAGCTGCACTCGTTTCTTGTTAGTAAACGAAAATCAATCAATATAAATCAAAACCAAAATAAAAAATCTATTTCAAATAACACAATCAGCGTAGGTGGGACCCTGGTATTTTAAATAGAGCCAATGAGAGCTCACCACGCCTAGGTCACCGTGGTCAATCGGCCAAGCGACGTCGGAATCAACACTCTGGTCATCTTCTCCGATGGGAAAAAATGCCAAAACCTGTAAAATGCGTCAATGAATGGAAACAAATCACTCAGATCACATAAATGGACCCTTGCGAATCTGATGGTATGGTTAGTTTGGCCTGAATCATTATGTGTCATGAGATTCGAAGGAAAAACCCTAACTCGGTTCAAACATGGTGAGGCGTGATTCTAACGTCAAAAACATCATGCAATCCTTCATTCATGTCCTAAACTATATTATGAATACATCTGCATCATCAAAAAAAAGTTAAACGTTTCTACAATTGAACATTCAAAAACAACAAAACCCTTACCACCAGTGTGTCTACGTGGGATGTTCTGGGCATAGTGGGACGTGCTAATGGACTTGAGGAGGCTCTTGGGAATCTCAGGAGTGATGTTTGATCACTGTTTTGGGCTGAGAACTTATAGAAATTAGGATTCGATGCTTACACAATTCTTTGGAAATTGGAATTTTATGAACCTATTCTTGGGGGTAGCTTTTTTTCGTCCCCTTGGATCTGCATGCCTTTGTGTATATATAGAGAATGAAATTGCATCAACAAATAAGGTACAAAATCATGTCATCATGGCCAAGATCAAGCAAGATAAAACATGTTTAAAGCCTTCCATTTTTGGATATCTTTGCCCTTTTGAGCTTCACATAGTTTTTCTAGCTGGCCATCATGTTTATGGGCTTCAAATCTGATCAAAGACCAAGCCCATATGCATTAATCCATTATTTTGTGATTTTATTTAATTTACTTTGTACTTCATTGAATAAAAATCAAAGTAAATATAAATAAAAATCATGGCAATGTATGAATTAGTTTAGGATTTCTTTATAAGGTTATGAACATGTTTAAACCTTAAAAAATAGGTCCACTAGTCCAAAATTTCAAGATTGCTCAATTGAGGTTTCATGTATTTCTCAAAAATTACCCAACTTGCACCAATCACAAATCATTCAATTTTTATCAATTTAGGATGATCTTAAACTTTTTGGAAAGCTCAAGACGCCCTCTACAATTTATATTTTGATCATTTTTGCATTTGGGGACTTTATCTTGATGTAAGTTGCCTTGACAAAAAGTGTCTTTTTGTTGACTTTTGAAATGACTTGTAATGTATTAGCTCATATCTTTCAAATGAAGCACTTTTTGGACTTGATCATACATGTACAAAGTTGTAGAGAATTGAATTTCCTTTAAAATGGGCTTTGCTTGGGTAAAAGTTGATGAAGCATGTGAAAGTTAGGCTTTGTCAAAGTTCAGTTGACTTTTCCTAAGAAAACCCTAACTTGGCAACTTTTGACTTTTGATAATTTGAGGGCTTTCCTTGAGGAATCATGATCAACCTTTGATTAAATGATGAAAATCTCTTCAAAATGTTTATATTGACCAAAAATATTTAAATTTGATTGTATGTTGACCATAGTTGACTTTTTACCCAATAGTTGATTTTCAATCATCTGAGCCATTGACTGAGCAAACTTGTGATGCAAGACTTGAAACTTGACATGAGCATTGTTGAAGACCTATGGAGAACCATGAAAACCATTTGTGACCTTTGAAACCCATTATTCCTTGTGCAAGATGAAACCCTAGTTATGGACCCATTGCTTAAGAGGTGAGTTTGTCTGATCAACTGTTGAGAATCCTTGAGCATTTGCTAACCCTAGAAGAATGTACTAAAGAAGATGGGAGGTCAAATTTTGGGGTACAACAACTGCCCCCTTTCAATCTTCTTAAACCTGAAGAGTTATATTGATATGTCCACCATTCATGACTTGGAGGTAGAAGATGATTGAACACTTAAGTGCCCATAAATTTGCACTCGCATGTGCACGAAGTAACACTGTTGTTTGATTATACCTGGAATGAGCTTAAAGATGGCATTTAGAGAGGTGACAGAGAGTCATTAGAGATGGGCTTATAGATTCCATCTAAAGTAACCGTTAATAGAAATTAGACTAAGTATATGCCCGACTTTATGTTAGAAGATGTATTTGGAGTGAGTCTACGCCCGACTTGGTCCAAAAGGATAATCAGAATAAATCTACGCTCGATTTAATCTGAACCAAAAGATGTCTACGCCCGAATTCAACTGGAAGAAGTATTGGAATGAGTCTACGCCCGACTTTTCCAAAGGAGCTTTAGAAGTAATCTACGCTTGGTTTCATTTGAATGATGTACTAGAAGATGTCTACGCTTGACTTCAACTAGAAAAAGGTGTTGGAAAGAGTCTACGCTCAACTTTTTTGAAGGAGTATTAGAATAAATATACGTTCAATTTAATCTGAGACAAAATACGTCTACACCCAACTTCAACTGGAAGAAGATGTTGGAAGGAGTCTATTCTCGACTTTTCCAAGAGTTTAAGAAGGAATTTATGCTCGATTTCGTCTGAATGATATACTAGAAGATCTCTACTCCCAATTTCAACTAGAAAAGATGTTAGAAAGAGTCTACGCCTGACTTTTCTGAAGGAGTATCATAATAAATCTACGCTCGACTTTATCTGAACTAGAAGATGTCTACGCCCGACTTCAACTTGATAAAGTATTAGAATGAGTCTTCGAAGGAAATGTTTTTCAGAATTCAGTCTCTGAAGGAAATGCTTGTCAGATTAAATCTTTGAGGGGAATGCTTTTCAGAATAATTTTATGAGGTAAGTGCTTTTCATAATTCAGTTTATGAGGAAGTGCTTTTCAGAATTCAGTCTCTGAGGAAATGCTTGTTGGAATTCAGTCTCTAAGGAAATTCTTGTCAGAATTCAGTCTCCGAGGAAATGCTTGTCGGAATTCAGTCTCCGAGGAAATGCTTGTCGGAATTCAGTCTCTGAGGAAATGCTTGTCGAAATTCAATTTCCAAGGAAATGCTTGTTAGAATTTAGTCTTTGAGGAAATGTTTTTAGGAGATGTTGTTCAGAGTAAATCTTTGAAGGAAGTCATTTGGTCATGCAGATGGTCGCTCCGTCTTGTTTTAAGAATTGATCTATACTTCTCTTTCATTGGTAAACCCGGACTGTTTGGGAATTCATACCACCTGATCTTTGATAGCTGCCCCGACTTATTTTCGAGAATTAATCTTCGAACTAGTCATGCAGATAAGTTACCCCGGGTTGCTTCAGGAATCAACCTTTGACCTGTTTGAAAATTGCTGATAATATTCGTCTGTTTGTAGACTTTCCCTGAAAAGACAAAGTTAGTCTTTATGCAATGTCATAACATATGTAATGCATTGCATAATGATGTTCTCAAAATAAATGAGAATGTGCTATATGCATTTCGCATGCACATGCTATGACGTTTGTAAATGATGTATGAGTATGAAGTGTTGTTGAAGTGTATTTGTAAACCCGTGCAACATATTTTTATGGGAAAATAAATCCTTGGCTGTTGTTGGGGATGAAAAGTATGTGTATCTTCAATCTTGATGGGTGTTCCTGCTTTATTCTTGAGAAAACTCCACTAGGGAATGTTGATTCCTGTTTGGGGATAAGAGTCCAAGAACA